AACTTCCACAAATTTAGGAGGGGGTATTTATAGAAAAACCAAGTTGCCTTTCCTCTCTGATTTTTGGATGTCCAAAATGGCTGAAATAAGGTGAGTTGGCAGCCATCAAATGCCTCATAGCTTCAGACCTATCCATGTGTCCGAGCTCTAGATTATTCCAATAATTATCCCTTAATTTCGCATTTTATTTAATTAATTATGTGGAGTAGCCAGAAAGCAACAAAATTAGGCCCTTATTGGGCTCAATGTGGGCCCCAAAAATTGCTTGGGCTGGTCCAAAAATTTGGCCCACATCTCAAATCAAAATCCCAAATCAATTTAGAACTTTATCGGTTACTATTCACGAGTAACATTCTATAATTTTTTCAGATCTTTGAAAATTTATTTCTCTCCATGATAATTCACCTTTTAATATAAGAACATGATCTGAAAATTTTCATAATTTTTTGCCATCTCTAGGTATTTATTTTGAATTTTCTCCTATTAAGCCTCTATTAGTGTCACTGTTAAAAAATAAATTCTCTAAAATTAATTCCTGAGCTTCTAAGGCCTAAAACTAATTTTTTAAATTCAAATAAATATTTATATGATTTATACATCCTTTTTCAAAATTTATTGAGGCTTTTAACTAATTAAAATAATTATTTTCCAATATTTTCTCCAAAAACCTTCGTTTACGGGAAATTCCGTAATAATTTATTTTCACCATAATTTTACTTTTCGGGCCTCAGCTGAGTTTTCAAAGCCTCTAATTTACACTTTTCCTATTTTTCATGAATTTTCTAAAATTTTTCTCAAGTTTTCCTGTTGCCTTCCTAGATTGATAATTACAGAAATGCCAGCCTGAATCTTATTGTGGTTTCACATCAAAAGTTGTTTTATCTTCCCGTCTAGTCTCTACATTGGCCTCATTCCAATTTTTGATTCCCTATGACTAGGTGAAATTTCTTGGGATGTGACATTTCACCAAACACCTTAAGTGCAGCAATAAAATCTCAAGAAATAATCTTTTCATCATAACTCATGGCTACTAATTCTAACAAGTTAAATAGTAACAAATAAACCATCAGCCATACCCATTTAATCTCAAATTTATCGATTACAACAATTGACATTTCATCAACACTTAAAGTGCAACAATAAAATCTCAAAAATTCATCTTTAATCATAACACATAAACTATTGATTCTAACAAGTCTAAGAGTAACAAAACAACTTATAAACCATCTTTAATCATACCTATTTAAAGGAAAGTCAAGCTAACCGATGAGCTAGAAGACCGACAAACTACCCATAACAACAATACAACACCAACGATGGTGAACTGATGCAAGCGACCGCGAGCTTGAAGCTATGGCAACAAACAGCAGCAACAGCAGCCCTCTTACTAAGGCTGATGCAAGCGATGGCACAAAGAATGATGAAAGGGAAAGGGGAAGCTAAGGAAAAGAGACAACATGGCGAACTAACAAGGAAGAAATGGGGGAGAATAAGGCAAGCTGAGGGATGACGATGAGCTAAGAGAGCAAGGATGATGGCGACATGAGTTGAGGGAGCAAGGAGAGGGGGAGAGAACGCGAGTTGAGAGAAGAAGAAGAGAGCTGATAGGTTTTGACAATTTTTTTTTTTTAAAGTGAGGCCTCATACTTTTCTGTTGGCCCAAAACATATGAGTATGGGGCCTCATACTAATCTATTTAGGGCCAACAGATGAGTATAGGCCTCACATACTCTGTCACATGACCAGACCAAGTATGTGATGCCTATACTCGTCTATTGGCCCTGAACAGACAAGTATGAGGCCCCATACTCTTCTGTTCTGGGCCAATAGATGAGTATTTTAAAAGTCTAATTGTATTAAAGACTTTCCTTAACCCCTATGCAAGTCTCAAATATCATACTAAAAATATCATATATTTAATAAAGACTACTACATATTTGCATAGGGGTAAGCATTCAGTTTTTCGATTCGGTTACTAGCAATAACAAAATTAACCGAATAATCGAGTAAAGCAAATTTTAAATACCGAATTGAAACCGAATTAACCAAAATATTTCTGTTTGGTTAACCAATTAACCGAAATATATAAATATGAAAGTGATTTCAAATTAATAATAATAAAACACAATTACAACCATTAATTAATAAATATTTCATCATTCATTGTGATTTATTATAATAATATTTATTATAACTATATTTATTGAATATAAATATATTTAAAGAGTTTATATAAACCCACATATATATTTATTATAATAATATTTATTAAATATAAATATATAATATATTTATTTCAGTTTTTCTATTATAACGGAAATTTTTTTCTACTAACCGAACTGAACACCGAAACCAAATTATTACAAAAATAAAAACCAAATATGTAACTGAAAACCGAAATAACCAAACCAAAAAACCGAAATTAAATTCGGTTCAGTTCAATTTTCGGTTACGGTTCCGTTTTGCTCACCCCTATATTTGCATGTACTCCTTTCATCCTATTGATAAGATATCTAAAGGAGAAATTTTCGGTCTCTTCTATAAAACACCTCTTGTTCGTTTCATAAGATTCAAATTTTTAAATTAATATGGTTTTTTATATAAAATCTAATTTGAGTTTGTTTGAATATTAAATGTATTTGGGTTAAGATACAAATTTGTCCCCAAATTATAGTTTTCACTCAGAAGCACTAGGTATTTAAAAGTTGTTTTGGGTTTCAAATGTGCTTTGAAAGTTTGAAATTCTTGCAATATTACCCTGTACCGTTAAAAAGCCAATATTGATAGTTAAAATAGTAACGTTGACCTTTAATATTTTTAATAGTAGCGAGCAATATTGCTATAATTTTAAACTTTCAGGGCAAATTCACTCCTAAAAACACTTTCAGATACCTAGTGCTCCTAAGTAAAAACTTTTGGAATAAATTTGTACCTTAATCCAATGTATTTTTATCAATTTTATCCCTAATTAACTGTATTATTTTTTTCCATACATCTCTTTCATAGTTTTTTGTTACTACTTATCTCTCACACCTACCCTCTTACTTTTAACCAATATTAATAGATTCTTTAAACCAAACAATTCGATTAATTGGATATTATAAAAAGAACAGAAAGTAATAGCATATGGGATATTGGTTTTTCAAAGGGAAAAGAGAACAAAGGTGATTTTTAAAAATAAAAAATTTTGAGTCAGAATTAATGGATTATAAACCTCTCATTGATTGATACATACTGGTGATAATGTTAATAAGAAGTCCTGTCGACAAAACAAATTGTTCATATTGCATTCGGTCATTACATGCATATCTTTGCATTCGTTTGTCATTAAATGCCCCATAATTTTGGTTCTGCCACTTGCAAGCCAATAATATTCTACTCGAATACATCATTAATGAAGCATGGAGCATTATTATTATTATTATTATTATTATTATTATTATTATTATTATTATTAGTAGTAGTAGTAGTAGTAGTAGTAGTAGTAGTACAAGATGGATTGTCAAATGTCAATATTCACTTTGGGATCGCATCGAACATTTTTAAAGTTTTCTTTTCTTTTCTTTTCGATAAAATTTAATTCAAAATAACGGCTGAATTATTTTTCTTTTAATTAAGAGGAGAAAATTCCTGTTCTGTCTGCTACTATGTGAAAATGGTTAAATATTTCAATAACGAGACATTGTTTATATATTTTTTTATATAAAAACACTTAAATTAAAACATTTTATTTATTTGGAAAGTTATAATATATAATAAAACAATCTTTTGGATAAAGAAACAATGGAGTTAATTTTTACACCACTCTAATTCTTATTATAAGCCACTTGTAACTCATTTTGACATCCCAATGAATGCATTAAATTGATAAAATTTTTCAAATTGACCCCTATTAAATTTTTATTATCTCTCTGAATTTACAAATCATTATCACCTCTCACAAGTCACACTCACATCTTTTTTTCGTCTTTCCAATAAAAATTAAATTAGGTAAAATTGAAAAACGATCATAAAATACTTTATGAGTAAGTGACTTATATTTAGGATGATACATTCCCAACAAGTAACTCGCAATAAAATATAGAGTGGTATGCATATTACCGAAACAAAATGAGGATGATCCCTATGCCATGTCTATATCCTCCCATGCCGACCATTATCCATCACTAAATGCCAATCTAATTCCTAGCTTTTAAGTGCTATTTGGTACAAAAAATTGAAAATGAGGGATAGGAATTAGAATTAAGATTGAGAAATAGTATTTAACATGAGAGATTGCTTGTTATATAAGATTAGACAAATCTATATATGTGGGATTAAGAAATACCATGGGAGGAAGTGGTATTCCCCAATCCTACTTCTATGGGTTTGCCTAATTCTATATAATAAATAATTATTCATGTTAAATACTTTTTTAGTAATTTTTTTTCAATGTCAATCCTAGTCTTTATTCCTTATTTTTAATGTTTCGTACCAAATAGAATCTTAGAAAGCAATAAGATGTCCCTGGCTAATGTCCGTGGCTAGGTTTCTCGCTATGATCTTTCTAGACAGAAAAGAAAAATAAAGGGAAAATCACACTAAGAGGCCCCCGAAATAACAAGTAACAAAATGCACGTCTGAATAAAGAAAATTGCTTAGATAAACCCTGTCCCAAATAGGAATTATGAAACTTCACTCTCCGACTCCTGTCCCTCTTCCTTTCTTACGGTGACAAAGGTAAGTGATAACAAGAACGACAGTGATAAGTGAATGAAAGAAGCTGACGATGGGCGAATAAGCAATGGCAATGTGGCAACGGCGATTGTTTTGGGTTTGATTTTTCCTCCCCGACTCGTCTTCCTCTTCCTTGGATTTCTAGTTTTTGTTCTGGTCTTTGAAAACATCTTGCTTTCCGCCCTCAATTTCGTTTTCTGGTTCTTGAAAGGGTCACTTGATTGTTCTAGGTTCGATTTTTGTTTGTTCGTTTTTTAGTTTAAATATTTGCTCTGGGTTTTGGGATGTGGTTCTACCATCAAGTTTCAAAATTTCCAGCAGTGGAGGGTTTAAGGGACACTGAGGACGTTGCTGATGGTGGTTCTGGCGGTGGAGAGGAGTGCTCCTCCCTTCTGATACGAGCCAACGAGGTAAGAGATGACGCAGAGGATGACGACGAAGGTGGGAGTAGAATGAGATGTGAAGTGTTCGACGAAATGTGTGTGTGAAGATGATTAATTAGGTGGGGACTATGTCTTGGAAAAGCGTGGGGGGCCAATGGATTGCATTTATTGGGTTTCTTCTTTGTCGAAGTGAGAGTATATCCTATTATTCTTCATTCATTTTCTTTTCTTTTTCTCGGACCCAAATATTACAACAAAGAAAATATCTTAGTTTTTCTGAAATTTTCGGCAATTATTTTGATTGAAGTAAAAAGACCTTGGAGCTTTTGTTCATAGACAGAGGCTGCATCATGCCCATCTAAGATATATCTTAAGATTATGATGATCTGATACGAACAAAAAAGGTATTCTATTAATAAAAAATATGCACAATAAACATGTTGCAGATTATATTTCATTTTAATTCTAAAAGAATACCAAGAGTGACATGAGTAATATACCATTTTATTTTAATGGGTTGTTGTTTCTAATTGTGGAGAGTTGTTATTTTGAATATTTAAACTGTAGTTTTTAATACTATACTTAACTTGTTATTTAGAAAAATTAACTTGTTATTTTCAAAATTTAACTTGTTTTTATGGAATGGTTCACTTATTTAAAGCAATGAACTTGTTACTTCACTTGTTATTTACAACAGTGATCTTGTTAATTTCCATATTCAATCTTGTTATTTGGAATAGTTGTTATTGGTAGGGTTGCAATTTGTTATACTTCACTTGTTATTTACAACAGTAAACATGTTATTTCCATATTCAGTGTTTAAGAAAATTAATATAAAATTGGTTAAATTTATCTAATCATATTATGTTTAATGCAAATTTATGCCCTAAAATAAGTTAATGTTGATAGATTTGTAAGACTTTTTATTTCTTAATGAAGACTTGTTATTGGCAATTAAATAGTGAAAATAATGCCATTTTCTGCTAAAACTTAAATTAATATGAATAGTTTTTCAGTACTTACTATTTTCCATACTAGACTTGTCATTAGCAATTAAATTATAAAAATAATACCAATTTCTATTAAAACTTAAGTTAATGTCAATATCTTTTTGACAATTATTATTTTCCATACTACACTTGTCATTAGCAACTAAATTATGAAAATAATGTCAATTTTTACTAAAACTTAAGTTAATACCAATAGCTTTTCAATACTTGTCATTTCTCATACTGGATTTGTCATTAATAATTAAATTGTAGAAATAAAGTTAATTTCTGTCAAAACTTAAGTTAATGTCAATAGCTTTTTAACATTTGTTATTTCCTATACTATACTTGTCATTGACAACTAAGTTGTGAAAATAATGCAAATTTATGCTAGAATTTAAGTTAATGCCAATAGCTTTGCAAGTTGAAATAAAAAATAACAAGTCTAGAAAAAAAAATTACATTCAGGCAAAAAAAATTACAAATAAGAAATAGAGAGCTACAAATCTAAATTACAGTGACCATATAGAGGTTAGATTCACAGGCTGAATGCAGGAGTTTCATACTTTGTAGCTAAATAAGTGGATAACATTGAACTAAGATTATATTTTGAGTTTAAAAGGTAAGGAGAAGCCCATCCACTGTGCATATTTTATAATTTATAGTTTATTATACTTTTTATAAATTGAGAAAAAAGTATTTTATAATGTGTTATACTATTTATAATTTATAAAAAATATCTTTAATATGCTTAATTTTAACTAATTTTTTTTAATCTATATATCTATACAACTCATTATAAATTAACAAAAATGATCATTTATAATGATTTATGCTATTTATAATGTATAAAGAGTATATTTAATCTATTTAATTTTAACTAAAAAATAATTTTTTAATCTATATATCTATACAACTGATAATAAATTTAAAGTAATTTTTATAAATCAACCAAAAAGTATTTTGTAATGGGTTATACTATTTATAATCCATAATAAGTATTTCTAATCTATTTAATTTTAATAAAAAATTTTAATCTTTATATCGATAAAACTCATTATAAATTAAAATATCTTTATGAGTTATAAATAGTGTAACTCATTATAGATTAAAAATACTTTTTGATTGTTTAAAAAATTAATTTAATAATATAAAATTTATTTTTAAACAATCAAAAATTATTTTTAATTATAAATTAGAGATAAATTTCTTTTTATAAATTTTTAATTACAAAAATTTATCAAAATAAATTACAAATAATTTTTAATTTATTTTGATACATTTATACTTTTTGGTTAATTAAAATAATTTTTTTTAATTTATGAAAAGTATTTTTAAATTTATAGTGATTGAACAAATTTCTAAATTAATTATTAAAATGATCTCAAATTTATCCTAATAACATAAATTTACAAGTTGAATTACGATGAAGAGAAGAAGGAAAGAGGACAAGATGACATGGAAAAAAGAGAAAAAGTGGAGGGTATTTTCATCTTTTCAGCTTAATCTCATAATTTCAGCTTAAGACTCGGTCATTTCAAACAATTTAGCTTATTTGAGTACTCATTTTGGCTATTTTATATGTTAAAGGGCTTTTTAATGCAATTTTCCCAAAGATAAATTGTATTTTTCTAGCAGCGACGGTGCGTGATCCGAATTGTGTTCAGGCCCCAAATGGAAGGAAATTCATCTAACATGATACGTATATGTTTGCACTAGATCATCTAGCATGATATATATATATATATATATTTGAAAGTCATATTTTTATATGGAACTATTTGGTAATTATTACTGACTATTTTTTTAAGCACAAATATCTTTTGTGAGATATTTTATTATTATTAAAACTATTTAGATATCTAATTAGAAGATTAATAAAATATTCAGAGTGCAGCCTGGGGTCAAATAAGGTCCAAGCCCAATAGAGTTATTAATTTCAGTCAATATTTGTATTTGCTCTAATGGTGAGAAATATAATTAGGTTTTTTTTTATGGCTAAAAAGATTGAGCGATACATTCAGAGAGTAAAAACCCTATATGCTTTTTTGAGGTTCCCTAATTGGTGACAGCTAGTTCAGTTGCCATCATTGTGCTTTTTTGCCAGTCAGAAGAGACCTAAACAATTGTTTTCTTCTAACTCCAATTCCATTTTGTAGTTCTCATCTCCTATCTTAGATCCTGAGATCAAGTAAGCAAAAGTAGGGGTGCTCATGGGACGGGACAAGACAAGGATGATCCTGTCCCAGTCCCGTCTTGATAATGGGGACGGGACAGCTTTCCCGTCCCATATCCCGTCCCGTCCCAATAGCGTTCCGTCCCAACATAACTGGGACAGGACAGGAACGTCCCATCTCTTTTTTTGTAATTTTTAAATTTTTTTAATTTGAAAACTAACTATACAAGAAATGTAAAAACTTATAATAAAAACTCTGTGTGGAAAATAGATAAAAATGACAAAATACTAACAAAGAAAAATATTTTTTGTAATCATGAGAGATAAAAAATAAACAAACCTAAAATATTTACTACAAAGAATATCATGTAACTCATACAAAAACAACTTAAAAACAAATAAAAAATAATAATTGATAAATATCATTACCAAAATACTATTACAATGGTAAATAAAATAAATATATAACAACTAAAAATAAAGATATTATATCGGGACGGGACACTCCCGTCCCGCGTCCCGTCCCGTCCTGAAACAATTTCGTCCCGTCCCAAAAGCTTTCGGGACAGGGCTGTCCCGTTCCAAAATGACTAGGACAGGGATGAGATACAGTTGAACACCCCTAAGCAAAAGCTATGGCAAGAAGTAACTTTAAAGTCTTCCGCTATATTCTTATAAGCAGATTCATATTTGTATTATTTGGTTTATATACATTTGCATATATATATTTGAATCTTTCTTACATGTGGCATCAGAGCTAGGTTAGGTTCTTCTCTACCTACTTTTGTTTAATTTAATACATTTTATTTCATTTTATAATTCAAAAGGCACAACTGGAGAGCAATTTAATTTATCTAGAAATTAAATATCTCACATTTGCATATCTATTTGAATCTATCTTAAATCTTTTTATTAGAGGTAATTTTATTTGAGACACCGTTGGATATAAATATGGATATCTCTCCTAGCAAATACTTGAATATTGATTCATCATGTTGTGAAGTACTAGCCCGCCTGAAACTAACCATGATTGATCAATCAAGTTTGATGAAAATAAGCCCAAAGGGACAGCTAAATCTCAAAAGACTAGTCTACTAAGAGGAAAAGCCCCTGAACTTATAAACCCTGCAATACTTATGAGATTTCCCAATGTATGACTCATAACAGGGCACCTTCCTAAAGAGCTAATGTTCTTGGCAGCTCTATTTCATAGCACTTCATTCGGTCTTCTTACTGGTCAGAACTCTCCGTAGGTAGCCCTCTCTAATTGGCCAACTTTTAATGAAAGCTCCAATGTGATGAGCATAAGCCTAGAAGGAGAGCCTAATCCCAAAAGACTAACCTATTAAGGGAGGGAGTTCTTTGAATTTATAAACCCTGCAACACTTGTGGGATTTTCCAACTTGGAACTCATAACATCAAGCCATTTCATTCAAATATGAATTGTATTCTGTTTTAATTTCATGGGTCATTAATATTTTCAACGGTGTCAACCAGAATAAGAACAAAAATAAGAAGTCAGATGAAGATCAACTTGAGAATTTTATAGCGCAGCTTAGATAAGATTTATAATTAATGGAAAACTTACTTCCTAACTCCCAACTACATGAAGGCTTTCATGGCCCTTCTTCACGAGGGAGTGTGTGTGTATATAGAGTACACGACTGGTTATCAGCCATCACACATCCTTTCGTTGTAAGAAATTCATCAAATGGCTTTAAAGTTACCCTTTCTTATTCTTCTTGCTTTCTTTACTCTTTCAATACTCCTTATCACCTCTGAGGTAGCAGCTAGGGACTTGCCTGAGTCTTCCTTTAATCATGGTGAGTTCGAGCATTTAAAATCTCTTTTGCACTTTATGGCATAAGATTCACCTCACATACTTACATCATCATAAAATCACTTGAAATAAGCTAATCTGAATACCAAAGAGGTTACAATAATGTTGTTGTTTCCTCAACATTTCAAGTAAACAAATTTTATATTTAGTTTCTTATATTGTATCATCACTTTTAATGTTCACATTTAAAATTTGTATTTTTCCTCTTCTAGAACACGCATACACACACACGTGTTATTGCTGCATCATAAATAGCTCTTTTACCTTGTGTCTTTATTTACTACGTGTAATAGCATGGCATGGCTTCATGAAATGTATGAAAAAGCTGTTACACTACCTCCGGTACTTAATATAAGATCTCGTTTGAGTTTTATTTTGGTCCTCAATATAAGACCCTAATTCACTATGTCTCTAATATTTATTCATTTTTTTCCAAGATAATCCTTCAGATAATGGTAGTTCTAGCTAATACACTTGATTAGCAAGGATATTTTAGAAGAGACAACACCTATTTATAACAGATAACTAATTTAATTTTTTTCCTTAATCTCCTCAAATTAGTCAACTAGCTCATTAGGACCGGAGGTAGTATTATTTATTCTAATCATGCAAGTGTTTCTTCAATTTATATATCTGCAGCTGAGATAGAGACGACAATGAAACATGGAGAGGTAGATGATGCCAAATACGGTTATGGAGGTTACCCAGGGCGTGGTGGGTATTATGGTGGTGGTTATCCTGGCCGTGGTGGCTATGGCGGTGGCTATCCTGGTCGTGGCGGCTATGGAGGTGGTTACCCAGGCCGTGGCGGCTATGGTGGTGGCTATCGAGGAGGATATTGCTGATATGGATGCTATGGCGGATGGTATGGAGGAAGCTCCAGAAGATGCTGTTATTACGCTGGTGAAGTTGTGGGTGCACAACCAAACACTGAAACTCATAACTAAGACATACAACTATGTGTTTCTTTTGTGTTAATATAAAAGTTTGTTTTTATGTTAGTCGTGAGACCATTAGGTGCGTATGCTTGGGTTCCATTCTCTTTCGGGAATGGAGTTTCAGGCCTCACGTCAAAGTTTAATGAGTCTGCCATCTCTACGTAAAGTAATTGTAGTATTTGTATAATATGTGTGAGAGATTGCTTTTATTAGCAATCTAAAATGGAAGATATGATAATAATTGGGAGGTTTTCGTTCCTCATCACTATGCATTCACTAAATTGTTATCTGATCCATAAGTGTATATTATCTTATGGTAATGGCGACATCGTTAAGAATGGTAATGAGGTTGGCTATCATAAATGGATCGAGGAAATATTCACCATGGCAATAAAACCCTACTCAAGTATGTCAATCAAACTACCTAGTGAACTAGTCCTCTGGGTAGTTTGGTTAACAGTTTTGGAGAGTTAACCGAGTTGAATTTTATATTATTTTATCTCTTTATTGAATCAGAAACGGGTAACTTTGAGTTTTAAAGAAGTAGCAATATGTTAGATTTGTGTTTTGGTGATTTTGCTTTGTTGGATTATATAGAGTTTATACCATTTACTTGTGAATTAATGTCTTTTTATTTTAATATTACTCTTTTTAAAGTTATATATGAATATAATTGTATATTTTAATTATATTTTTTTATCAGTCATGCTTGTGTTGACTCCAATTTAACCATAACTAAACCACTGATCTTTAAATCACTGTGTCAATTAGCTTAGCCGAACCCGGGTAGCTTCTTGTTATTTAGAATTCATGAAGAGAGTATTCCAAACCAAACCTTGTTCTTAAAAAGACTTCAGTTTCTTTTCAATAATACATAAAAATCACTCCTCATGTTTGAAAAATCTGTCGTTTCCTATCATGCCAGAAGAATTATTAAATAGTCGAAACTATAATAAAATTTAATCATTTTCTTATCAATATAACATTATGCTACTTTTATCTTTAATATAAGAGTTATTTGACTAATTTGTATAGATTAAGTAAGTTAGTTATCGGTAATAAATAAATATTATCGTTTTTAGAATACTCTTACTAAGTATGTATATTAGCTAGAACTACCATTTAATGAAACATTTAATACATGCAACTATTACAAGATCTACTTTGGAAAAAAATGAATAAATATATGAGACAAAATGAATTAGAGTCGTATATTTAAGATCAAATTAAATACCAAATTAGCTCTTATATTATAGATTGAAGGTAGTATTTAATAATTTTGATTGAAATAAATGTTTTTAAAATAGAGGGATAATGTGTATAAGGTAAAAGAGATGGGTGGCGGGAGCATTTTATCTTTTTATAAGCTTCAATTTTGTGAAAAATATTCAGTTTCTATTCATATATTACTTAACAATTTAAGACAATATTAATTACTACTTTTCCAAACATGACCTTTTCATAGTAACCTTAGTTATTTTAGAACACAAATTAATTAATACTTTTCACAGAGATGCATATTCGGAAAGTGGGAATATCCAAAATTTATGTCAGGTTGCCTATATTTATTAGGTCAAGTTTTTTAATCACATTTATTACTTTGCTATTTTTAATTGTTAAAATGTGTATATACCCTTGTAAATTTACCTATGACCGCTTGTATATATTTTTTTTATAAGCTATTATAATATAAATTAAGATTTGGAAATTTTTGTATGGATACTTATTTTCATATTGTTGGTTGTTAAAATACGTATTAAACTTGTAAATTCACATATAAACTTGATCTAATAGATAAAGCAGGTTGACCTAAGTTTTTCCTGTGAAAGTTTTAGTGTAGTAGAAAATTTCCGTAATCCCTATGCAAAAGTCTCAAATTGCATGTAAAGGTGAAATTTCTATAAAGATGTACTTAATAGAAGCCACTGCATATTTGCATGTACTGCTTTTTACAAGACAAGTAAAGCTGAAATTTTTGGTCTCATTTATAAAATATTCCCTATGATTCTTTTATAAGATCCAAATTTTTGAATCCGTTCGGTCCTTTATATATATATATAATCTAGTTTGGGATCATTTGAATATTAAATTTATTTTTACCAATTTTAGCCCTAATTAACAGCATTATCTATCTCTCCAATGCGTGCTCTTTTATATTTTTTCTCACTATTTCTCTCTCTCATCTCCCCACTTATAAATACTATAAACAAGGACATATTTGAAATATATATTTTTTATATACTCCTCTCGGTTCTAAATATAAGACCCATTTTGTAGTATAATTTATACTACAAAATGGATCTTATATTTAGGATCAGAGGGGTATTTATTATTTTTAACATATTGCATTTGGTCATTACATGCATATCGTTACATTCATTTATCATTAAATGCTCAGTCCATAATTTTGGTCCTACCACTTGCAAGCCAATAGTATTATATTATTCAAACACATTATTAATGAAGCCTGGGATTTTATTATTATTATACGATTGATTGTCAATATTGACTTCGGGATCGCATCAAATATTCTTAAAATTTTCTTTTATTTTTGGCAAAATTTAATTCAAAATAACGGCTGAAATATTTTTCTTTTCATGTACAAGAGAAAAATCCTGCTTCGTCTACTATGTGAAAATGGTTAAATATTTCAATAACGAGACATTATTTATACTTTTTTATATAAAAACACTTAAATTAAAACATTTTATTTCTTTGGAAAAGTTATACTCCCTCCGTTCCTTATTATAAGAGACATTTGATGCTTATGGCATGTTCCTATATATAAGAGACACTTACAAGTTGTCTCTACTTTTTTGTGTTGATTTACTATTTTACCCAATTTATTATCTCCAACTCACACTCTCTCTCCCTCCCACTTCTCTTTCTTTGAATAATTTAATTTTTCTCTCTCATACTCTCTCTCCTTATTAATGAGGGTATTTTTGGAAAAAAATTATACTTTTTACACATTAATTGTTCTTAACTAATTTTAACTGTTTTTTTGATCAACGTATTTCGGTTATTTGTCTCTTATAATAAGGAACGGAGGGAGTAATATATAATAATTTTTTTTTGGATAAAAAAATTAAACAACTGGTTTAATTTTTATTTTTTTTATACCACTCCAGTTCTTTTTTTTTTTTTTTTGGGTGTAAGACAATCGAAATCTAATTATAAGTAACTTGTAACTCTTTTTTCATATCCAAATGAATGCATTAAGTTAGTAAATCTCACAAGTCAGACTTTTTTTCTCTTTTCAATAAGAATTAAATTAGGGCAAAATTGAAAAAATGATCATTAAATACTTTACAAATGACTTATATTTATAGGACAAATATTTCCCCAACAAGTAACTTACAACTAAACAAGGATGATCCCTGTGCCATGTATACATCCTTCAGATTGGAAGGCTATTATTCCCATGCGGACCATTGTCCATCGCTAAATGCCAATCTAATTCTTAACTTTTAGAAAGCAATAAGATGTCCTCACTAATGTTCGTGGCTAAGTTTCTCATTAATTTGATCTTTTTTGACAGAAATAAAAGATAAATTGTATTTTTCTAGTAGTGATGGTACGTGATCCGAATTGTGTTCAGGCTCCAAATGGAAGGAAATCCATCTAACATGAGATGTATATATTTGAACGCCATATTTTTTATATAGAACTATTTGGTAATTATTGCTAACTATATTTTTTTTCGCTAGGCACAACTATCCTCCTATATATTGAAAACTATCATGTTAGAAGCACTGTAAAGACACTAAATGTGGATACCTCTCCTTAGGGGTGTGCATGAGGCCCGCATGCCCAATAAGCCCGCCCGAGCCCGCAAGAAAAGCGCCTAGCCCAGCCCAGTAAAAAGCTGCCCAAGCAAAAATGGGCATCTTCGGGCTGGGCTGATTCACGGGCAGGGCAGGGCCGCGGGCAGGGTATGCTGCCCTGCCCATTTGGCCCTGCCCGAAAAAATATATAATTATATATATAAGATAATATTATTTTAAGCAATTATCTCTTTTGTTTTGGCCAAAAAAATTAGGTAAAATTAGAAAAAATGAAAGGAACATAAAATTATAATTATATAAAAGAGCTAAATATCAAAATATAAGATTCAATATGCTAAATTACTCCAAGTCAAATTTCTTTTTTTTTCTCTTACATCCAATTTTTTAAAACAAAAAAAAATAAAAATAAAACCACCTTTCAAATTTTGTGCTTTCACATGATTATAAAAATCTGCCAACTATATGAATAAACTAAGGAATTGAACTACTGATTTAGCTTGATTATTAAATGTTCTAATTATTAAATTTTTTTTTTTTACCTCCCATAAGAAATTGAAAGTTGAAGAACAAGACTACATAGGCCTTATATATATATGAGTGATAGACTCATTCGTGATAATTTTTTTCCTCTCACTTGTCTCAAAACACGATAATTGAATTTTTTTTCTACATACGATATAAGGCATGGTGTCATTACGCTGGGCAGAAAAGCCCGCCCTGCCCAGCCCGTCCTTGCCCTGCCCAAAATGGTTAGGGCTTCTACTGGGCAGGGCCGGGCAGCGGGCTGCAAAACGCAGCCCGCTCATCTTTCGGGCTGGGCATCGGGCAAGGGGTTTGCCCTGCCCAGCCCTGCCCATGTGCAGCCCTACCTCTCCTAACAGAAATTCAAATTTTGATTTATCACATTATGAGGGACTTGTCCCTTCTGCTAGATACAATCTCCCATCATAACATGTGACCAATATAAGAGGGCAACTCTCCTTATAACACAGTATTTTTAGTCTCTAAAAATTTGAGTACTTGATCTTATTTAAAAGATGCGTCTTTTCCACTTGACTAACCACGACTGATCAATCAAGCCATTTCATGCAAATATGAATATTATTCTGTTTGAATTTCATGGGCCATTAATTCTTTCAACATTGTCAACCAGAATAAGAACAAAAAATAAAAAGTCAGAGATGAAGATCAAGTTGGGAATTTTATGGCATATATAGCTTGGATAAGGTTTATATTAATTAATGGAAAACTTACTTCCTAACTCCCAACTACATGCGTGCCCTTCATAGCTCTTCCTTAACGTGGGACTGTATTTATATATAGAGTACACGAATAGTTATCAACCATCACACATCCTTTAGTTGTAAGAAACTCATCAAATGGCTTTCAAGTTGCCCTTTCTTATTCTTCTTGCTTTCTTTGCTCTTTCAGTACTCCTTATCTCCTCTGAGGTAGCAGCTAGGGACTTGCCTAGGTCTTCCTCAAATCATGGTGAGTTCGAGCATTTAACATCTCTTTTGCATTTATGAAACCAAACTCTTCTCATATACTTACATTGTATCACGTAAAATCACTTAAAATAAGCTAATTCTAATAACAAAGACGTTATAGGAATGTTGTGTTTTCTCAACATTTTCAAGTGAATAAATTTTATATTAATTTTAATTTCTTATATTGTATCATCACTTTTAACGTTCAGAGTTAAAATTTATATTTTTCTTCTTCTAGAACACACACACACACGTTGTTTTACAGCATCATACATAGCACTTTTACTACGAGTAACAACATGGCATGGCTTCATAAAACATATGAAAAAACTCCCATAGTATATAGTCTAAAAATGCAAGTGTTTACTCAATTTATATATCTGCAGCTGAGGCAGAGACAATGAAACATGGAGAGGTAGATAATGCTAAATACGGTTATGGAGGTTACCTAGGGCGTGGTGGGTATTATGGCGGTGGTTATCCTGGCCGTGGTGGCTATGGCGGTGGCTATCCTGGTCTTGGCGGCTACAGAGGTGGATACCCAGGCCGTGGCGGCTATGGTGGTGGCTATCGAGGAGGATATTGCCGATATGGATGCTGTGGCGGATGGTACGAAGGAAGCTGCAGAAGATGCTGTTATTACACTGGTGAAGCTGTGGATGCACAACCAAATACTGAAACTCATAGCTAAGACATACAACTATGTGTTTCTTTTGTGTCACTATAGAAGTTTGTTTTTATGTTAGTCGTGGGACCATTCTCTCTTGGGAATGGAGTTTCAGGTCTCACGTCGAAGTTTAATGAGTGTGCCATCTCTACGTAAAGTATTTGTATAATATGTGTGAGAGATTGCTTTTAGCAATCTATAATGAAAGATATGATAATAAGTGGGAGGTTTCCCTTCCTCATCACTAGGCATGCACTAAATTGTTATCAATAATTGCATATTATCCTATGGCCATGTTTGGTACGCAGCACTGGAGGCACGGGACAGGGGTTGGGATAGGAAATCAGTCAAATAAGCATGTTTGGTAAGTGGTATTAAAGAAGCCCAAGGACTGCACATTACCACATAGGTGGGATTGGGCAAACCCACCTCCCCCCTGGTATTGCATTTTAAAACCTGGGATTAAAAATTTTGAAGACAAAAATATCCTCACTTCTAATAAATTTTGGACAAGTTTAACCTTCTTACATTTTCCCTAATTTATTCTTCTCTTGCATCGTTCTGAAATATTTTGCTGACCTCCATAGCCATCTTCACACACACTCTCGACCATCGCTCGTGCCGTCGCCCTCGGAGTTGCTCCCGGTCACTCTCTTTGTACAATCCTCTTCAACGACTAGTAAGATAAACTCTATCCCTGTTTTTTTTTTGGCTTCCATCATCAATTTTTTTTTTCAATCTTCTTTGATTGACAAATTCTTTGCCAGCCATATTCAGTAACGGTTGACTTGTTAAAGCCATTGTTGTTGGTCGAAGAATTATATATGATTAAGAGAAGATGATGAAGAATATGATTACATATATGTTATTTATGTAAAATCTTAAGATGATCTAGCCAATCGATTTCATCTCCAAGTCGTTTTGTTCTATTAGGTATTGATTGATAAATCTAATATTGCAACTTGATGCAAACTCATAGCTAACGTTCTCTTCATATTTCTTCTTATTGTGATATTTCGATTGTTGCAATTTAATTAACCATTAGAAGGCTTTATAATTCTAATTGTTAAGCCCAGTTAGATCCACCTTGAATACATAGATACGGCTTGTTTCTCCAACCACACTAATCTTATTTCCTCCGTTTTCTAATCCCTTTGATGTTCTTTTCTTCCTGACTTTTCATTTAGCCCTTTCTTTTAGTCTCTTACATCGCCGTTCACATATATACAAGCCGAATTTTTATTTTGTTTTCTTTTGAGGCTTGCTGGAGAATTCTGAGAGAACATTCCATGGATTTTCAACGTCTCTCTGCACTTATTTCAGTGCGCATGTATATAGCATATCTCTACATCCTTTCACAATAGTACTCTGCATATATTCTTAGCTCATGTTACAGATAATCATAAACATATATATATATATATATATATATCAAAGTCATATTTTCAATTCAAATCATGTGACATCGTATCCTTGTGATTTGAAGATCAAGAGAAAATTTAGAACAGATCGACCTGCAATCTACGAAAAATAAATCAACATACATTTAGGAAAAATACATGTTTGACAATCTACATAGTACTTACGTACTATTAACTAATATTATACTATGAAAAACAGATTTTCTGTGAAGGTTACAAAGTGCTGTGTGTCTCTTTTATCAGAGCAAATATTTACTGGATCCTTGAAGCTTTAACTCTTTACACTGCATTATACATCTATTGGGACATACAAGTGCTCTCTTACAAAGTTCTTTACCTTATATTGTTGAATGGTCTTTTACAAGTGTCTTTTTTTTTTTTTAATTTAGATGGTCTTTGTCCAAAAAGAAAAATATAGTTGAATGAGGCTAAACTCAGTCAATGATTATAATTTATACATGTTAAACAAAATTTTTATGACTCTACATAATTGGTTATACAGTTATGGCACTATCAGAAGAAAAGAGAGAACTATTACGTTTGTTGCTTTTGTGGGTGAGCATGCTAAGGCAATGGAGGGGTTTTTTTATGTGCGTGCATGACTATCATATCAAGAAGGCGAAGAATTAGACACATACCTTACAAAATGGACTTTATTGTTAAGAGATCTTATCTAAAAGGATTGGTGTGTAGTAGTGATGTAGCATGTTACAACCTACTTAGAATGAATAGGACAACATTTGATAAGTTATGTTTATTACTAAGGGATGTGGGTGGTTTGAAGCCTAGTAAGAATATGCTTGTAGATGAGCAAGTTGCAATATTTTTACACATATTAGCACATCATGTGAAGAATAGAGTAATACAGTACAATTTTGGTAGATCTGGAGAAACTATTAGTAGGTATTTTAACTTAGTACTCAGTGGTATGATGAGACTTGGAGATATGTTATGGAAGAGACCAGAACCTGTGCTGGAAGATTCAAATGATGATAAGTGGAAGTGGTTCAAGGTAAATATACATGTTATATCCTCGTTATTGATTTTTAAGGATATGTGTAAAGTGTGTAATATTTATTTTCTTTGTTTCAGCGTTGTTTAGGTGCATTGGATGGAATTCACATTAAGTTGAGAGTTCCTTCTATTGACAAAGCTAGATACCGGAATAGGAACGGGGAGATTACAACAAATGTGTTAGGTGTTTGCTCACAAGACGGGTATTTCATATATGTTCTGCCTGGGTGGGAAGGATTTGCAGCAGATGGACGTGTTCTTCGTGACGCCATTAGTAGGAGGAATGGCTTGAGAGTTCCACAAGGTCATTATTACTTAGTTGATGCTGGGTATACCAATTGCGAAGGATTTCTTGCACCATACAGAGGACAAAGATATCATTTAAGTGAATGGAGAGATGGACGACATCCTAGAAATGCACGAGAGTACTTTAACATGAGGCACTCTTCTGCAAGAAATGTAATTGAGAGGTGTTTTGGAGTTTTGAAGTTAAGATGGGCTATTCTAAGAAGCCCATCGTTTTATCCTATTAGAACATACAACTGAGTAATAATTGCTTGCTGCTTATTGCACAACTTAATTCGACAAGAAGGTATAGATCCTCTAGAATATGAAGTTGAAGAAATGGAAGTTCATGTGGGCGGGGTGGAGAACCCTCCAATTCTAAACATAGATGCATCTGATGAATGGGATGCCTTTAGGAACAATCTTGCCAATGAAATGTTCAACACTTTTACTGCTAATAGAACAGCTACATGAAAGAATTACTTAATTTGGAAGTTGTTGTTGTTTTTTGGTTTGTGACTCTTTTCCATGTGTAATGTTGTAACTTTATCTATGGCATGTGTGCTATTGTAACTTTATCTATGCCTTTTGTGCTATTGTAACTTTATTTATGCTGTGATTTAGTTTATGACTCTTTGCCATGTGTACTATTGCTACTTTATGGTATGAAGCTTCTTGGTTGCATTAATTTTATGTGAGGTTCTAACGTAATTTTAAATTATAGTGTGTGGACACCTGAGGAGGATGAGCTACTAATCCAGTGCATGATGATACTACATGATAAGGGTGAACTTGTTTCTGAAAATGGTCTTAGGCCTCGTGTCTTGAACCAATTACAAGACATGCTTCATGGTCTTATACCTGGATGTAGTTTAAAGGCCCATCCTCACATCCAATCTAGGATTAAGAAGCTTAAAACTAACTATGGTGTTATTTCTGACCTTCTGAAATTATCTGGTTTTGGTTGGGATAGCGAGAAGAAATGTGTGACAGCTCCAAAGGCAGTATGGGATGAGCTTATCAAGGTAAATCTAATTATTTATCATGTATGGATATCTGGTTTTGATTAGATGTAAAAAAATGGTTGGAAAATTCACTTATCTAGTTTTGCATTGTCATTTTTATGTCTATTATATTTGATTTCATGGAAATAGGTGAACAAGGATGCTGCTAGGTTTAGGAATAAGTCCTTCCCTCATTATGAAGAGCTTCATGATATCTATGGGAAGGACAGGGCAACTAGGAAGGATGCTCAAGCTTGTGAAGATGTAATTGAAGAGATAGATGATCAGAATGGTGTAGACAATTCAACATTTGAGACTAATCTTGAGGCTGACATGGATATCTCTCATGGAAATATTCCACCACCAAATAACAGTCCACTAGAAACTGAAACTGATAACTCTCCATCTGAGGCAAGTTCTGGGTTGAAAAAACGCAAGCGCAAAAGCATTGATCGTGACGATGTGCTTATCCTTGGAATGGAGAAATTTGCTAATTCATTGGCTGAAGGTTTTAACGAAGCAAGTGAGCGATTAGGAATGCATATTGACAGGGTTGATCGTGAGAAGCGCCTGGATGGGATGAGGGAGTCGCTCTATGGTGAGCTTTTGAAGGTTGAAGGACTTTCTCATCAAGAGCGTCTTTCGGCCTATGTTAAGATTATTTCTGATGAGAGCATACTAGTTGGATTCTATGCCATGCCTCAAGATGCAAAAGCAGATTTGGTCCGCCAAATAAATGCATAGGCTATGATGGATCTTTTTTTTTTTGGGATATTTCTTATTTTGATGGATCTAGCTGACATGGATATTCCTTCTTTAACAGATATTTTGTTTCAGACCTTTCTCATTTTGATGGATCTTTTGTTTAAGATATTCGATGGTTTGATAGATATTTTGTTTCGGATCCTGCTTATTTTGGTGAATATTTTATTTTAGATATTACATTGTTTGATGTGTATTTTGTCTAAAATATTCTTTATTTTGATGGGTATTTTGTTTTACATATTTTGTCTAAAAAAACCCACTTTTGCTAATGTTTAATTTTTATGAGCCGTTGATTAGCAATTCTTTATTGTCATTTTTAAAGAACCCACAATTCTTTATCTTTATTGGTTGATGGAAGAAATTATGGTTCGATTGTTCTCTTTAACTCAATTCATGTGCGTGGACGAGGCAAAGTGAAATACGATGGTTTTTGAGAAGTTACTAATGATTTTTTAACTATTCAATTTAATTACTATTGATTTTTTATTACTTTTTTATATATAAATTTGCTAGAATATGATGGAAAACCATTTCTGATTTTTAAAATTTAATTATTATTTATTTATTGTTATAACTAGAGGCAAAATTTAATGCATTTATTTTTTGGGGTAAAAAAGTTTCCTTTTTATCCAAAAAAGAGTGCACAAGGTTGGAGTCTCAAGTCCTCAAATAGTGTAAGGGGTATTCTGGTCTTTTAATCTTATATATTTTATTATACAATAAAATGGATGTGTGTATTCCTTCCTAATATTATCTCGTACCAAGCATAAAATAAAAGCCTCATTCCCAATCCCATTACCATTACCATTCCCAATCCCAATACCATTCCCATTCCATCAAAAGCCAATCCCACCTACCAAACGAGGCCTATAGTAATAAGAGATCGTTAAGAATGGTATCAAGGTTGCCTATCATAAATCGATCGAGGAAGTATTCACCATGGCAATAAAAGCCAACTCAAGTAGGTCAATCAAACTAATTAATGAACTAGTCCTCTGGTTAGTTTGGGTAACAGTTTTGGAGAGTTAACCGAGTTGAATTTTATATTTTTTTCTCTCTTTATTGATTCAGAAATGACATCGCTTGGAGTTGTAAAGAAGTAGCAGTCTGTTAGATTAATGTTTTGGTAATTTTATTTTGTTGGATTATAGATAGTTTATACCATTTTCTTGTGAATTAATGCATTTTTATTTTGATATTATCTTTTTAAAGTTATGTTTGAATATTTTTGCATATTTTAATCATATTATATTTTTTTTAATCATGCTTGTGTTGACTTCAGTTTAACCATAACTAAACCAATGATCCTTAAATCACTTTCTCAATTAGTTTAACCAAAACTGTTTAGCTTGTTGTTATTTAGAATTCACGAAGAGAGTATTCCAAACCAAACCTTTTTCTTAGAAGACTTTAGTATCTTTTCAATAATCGATAAAAAATTACTCCTCATGTTTGAAACATCTGTAGTTTTCACTCATGCCAAGAATTATTAAATAGTCGACATTATGATAAAATTTAATGATCTTCTTATCAATATACACTTAAATATAATAATTTCAATAAAAATCTATGTTTTCAAAATAGAGGGATATATAATATGTGTAAGATAAGAGAGAAGGCGGGTTGGAGCTTTTTTTTTTTTTTTATATGCTTCAATTTTGTAAAAGAAAAAAATTTGGTCTCTGTTCATATATTAATGAACAATTTAAGACAATATTAATCACTACTTTTCCAAACATGGCCTTTTGATAGTACCCTTAATTATTTTACAACACAAATTAATTAATACTTTTTCATAGAGATGGATTCAAAAAGTGGGAGTATATATACAAAACTTAGATCAGATTGCATATATTTATTAGGTTAAGTTTATTTAATCACATTTGTTACTTTGCTATGGGTAGTTATTAAAATGCGTATAAACACTTATAAATTTATTTATGAATACTTGTAATTTTTTTATAATCTCTTATAATGTAAATTAGGATTTGTAAATTTTTATATAGATATTTATTGTTTTCATATTGTTAGTTATCCCATAGATATTTACTATTTTTATATTGTTAATTGTTAAAATACGTATGTACACTTGTAAATTCACATATAAATTTGATCTAATTGATATAGCAGGTTGACCTAAGTTTTGTCCTGTGAAAAGTTTAGTGTACTAAGAACTTTCTTTAATCCCTTTGCAAAAGTCTTAAATTTCATAATGAAAAACATGACATACTTAGTAGAAAGGGAAAATCACAAATAAAGACTCCTGAATTATTAAAATTACATAGAGATCGCCTGAATAAGCAACATTACCATGAGGGATCAGTCTCATATTGCAAATATGAAATCTTAGTGAAATGTTTGAAATACTCCTCAGCCAAATGACAAGTTAACTATAGGAAATGACAAATTCACTTTAGTGAATGATAATTTCAGTAAACCAAATCACAATTTAGTTGAAGGTATACCAAATGACAAATTGATTAGGGAAAATAACAAGCTTACTTTAGCGAATGACAACTTTAGTAGACCAATCACAACTTGACTGATGGGCATTTCAGACATTTTGCCGAGATTTCATATTTGCAATATGAGATTGGGTCCTTCATGGTAATTTTGATTATTCAGGTGACCTTTGTGTAATTTTGATAATTTGGGGGTTTTATTTGTCATTTTCCCTAATAGAAACCGCTGCAGTTTTGTGGGTGAGCGAAACCACTGCATATTTGCATGTACTGCTCTTGGTCCAATTTACAAGAGAAGTAAAGGTGAAATTTTCGGCCTCATTTATACAATATTTTTTGTTATTCTTTTTATAAGATCTAAATTTTTGAATTCGTTTAGTTCTTTTTATAAAATTTAATTTGAGGTTGGCTGAATATTAAATTCATTTTTATCAATTTCAGCCCTAGTTAACTGCATTATCTTTTTCTCCAGTACATTCTCTTTTATTTTTTTCTCACTATTCCTCTCTCTCCCCCCTCTATCCTCTGATATTTCATTAAAAAAGAGCTACCTTCTTCTAAATAATATAAATAAGGGCGTGTTTAAAAAAATATTTTATTACTTGTACTAATAGATATCTTAAATCATGCAATTCGGTTAATTTATATTATAAAAAGGACTGGAAGTAGTAACACATCGGATATTCGTTTTTAAAGTTAAACAAGAACAAATTGAGGTTGATTTTTCTTTTGTAACCAAAAAAGATGATTTTTCTAAAATTTTCAGTCAGAATTAATGAATTATAAATCTCTCATTGATTGCTACAGGTGATAATGTTACTAATCAGTCCTGCCGACAAATCAAATTGTTCATATTGCATTCGGTCATTACACGCATATCTTTACATTCGTTTTTCATTAAATGCTCCATAATTTTGGTTCTGCCACTCGCAAGCCAATAATATTCTATTATTCAAACACATTATTAATGAAGCATGGGACATTATTATTATTACATGATTGATTGTCAATATCGACTTTGGGATCGCATATAGAATATATTCCGAAATTTTCTTTCATTTTTAAGAAATTTTAATTTAAAACAACGGCTGGAAGTTTTTTTTTTTTTTGCTTTCATTAACAAGAGAAAAATTCTGTTTTGTCTATTATGTGAAAAGGATTAGATATTTCAATAACGGGAAATCATTTATATGAGCATGTTCTATATAAGTCGAGACCAAACTCCTCTCACATACTTACCTTGTATTTTATAAAATATGATTAAAAAGCTACTTATAAACCATTTCAAATAGGCCTTGCTGGCAAAACATTTCATTTATTTGGAAAAAATTTAAGTTGGCTATTTACAATGAGAATTCAGTGATTTGTAACACAGATTCAATGATTTGCATTTCAAATAGAGTAAGAGTGTTTTTGTCTTCTCACACAAAAAACTTTAGTCAAGGAAATGCAGTGAAATGTCAGAATTTTTTGAGGGTTAATTGATATTAATTGGTTATTGAGGGTGTTTATTGAAATTTTTCCTATATATATATAGACATACACACCATCTCTTGTCTCTAATATAAGAACTAATTAGATATTCAATTTGGTCTTAAATACATAAGACTCCAACTCACTTTGTCTCCAATATAATATTTATTCATTGCATAGCAATTCCTATATGGTACATATATTAAGGAGTTTTCATCAAGGAGTAATTTCAATGCACATGATTAATAAGGATATCTTAAGAAAGATAACATTAATTTATTAAAATAACTAACTTAACTAATTTTTTTAATATTTACAAATTAATTATCTAGCTCTTATATTAAGAACTAGAGATAATATATATTTGCAAGCCATATTTTTTTTATAGAACTATTTGATAACTATTGCTGACTAATTTTAATTCCAGCAATATGCAACCCATATGAAAGGGCAACTCTCCGGGATCGGCTTTCTTTTAGTTCTTTTTTTTTTTTTTTTGTGAGGCTAGCATCACTATCATTAAACTGAAACTCCACAGTTGGTCCCATGGATAAAGAGTTGGTCCATAACCCATAAGGTCGTGAGTTTAAATCTAGCTATTGATGTCACAACTTTGTTGGTGAGCCACATCTCTGTAAGCATTTTACAAGTTTGAAGGTGTGTCTTGACCTTAGTAAGCTCTTGAGATTTAATTCACCTAAAATTTTCTAGTATTAAAAAAAACAAAGAAACCAAGGCCCAGACCCAAGAAAAGAAGAAAATGACAAAAAAATTAGAGATACTAGAAAGATTAAAGACATAAAACTTTCCGTCATGAACCAACATGGGTTAGGTCTAGTGGAAGGGATTGGTCCCTCACAACGTGGTGAACCAAAGTTCAAATTCTTGCTACAGTGCCTCGAATAAGATTGTCTCCAATAAAAAGATACCTATGCTTTAGGGGGGAAAATCTTTTGGTCACGATAACAGGGGTAATTGAGGTCAAAGCACCCAGTCTGACCGGTAAGATTTATCTAATGAAGCATTAACAACCAATCAGCTACT